TCGGCAAGTCACAAATTATTAATCAATTAATTAGCAAGTATTTGCTGAGCCTCTCCTTTGAAATAAGTGGTATGCAGAACAGGGACCTGGAGCATTTTTAGTGATACAGAAAGAGGAGAAGAGAACATATAATCTCCTGACCTAAGGAAACTTATGAGAAAGTCAGGTAAAAAGACACACCCATGGAAAACTAGCAAACAATTCAAAATAGTGGAAAGTAAGCATAAAATGGGAAGAGTTAATAATCCTGTCATAAAATTAGACAGTTTAGGAGGAAGAACGGGAATTATCAAGGCCTAGATTCGTCAGCAAAAGCTTCATGAAGATGGTACTTAAAAGCTGGAATATGGAAGGATAGGATTCAGATGAATGGGGACTCTGGGAATGGGCATGAAGAAAGGAGAGGTAGGAAGGTGATGGAGAATTTAGAAAGAGGACATAGACTAGTCTATCTCTTAAGTACAATCGAAAGTTGACAGCTCATTCTTTCAGAGGGCAGCAAATGGGGGATGATCTATATGAAATGATCCTGGAAATCAATGTGATAATAACTTTAAATGACCATCACGTCTAATTGTTCTAGATACGGCTCTTTTGTTGACAAAGAACAGAAGCCACTCACACTAACTCAAGGGAAAAGGGAACAGGAAAATCGTAAGATTGTAGCAGGAGATCTCTTGTACATTCAAAAGTAGTTCATGGGCCAGGAACCAAGGGCCCTTTGTATGACTTGGGGTCACATCATCCTAGCTTCTTCTTTTATGTCTGCCTCATTCTTTCTCTTAATCCACCTACTCTGTTTATTTATCTTGCACATGGTTAAAATATGGTTGCCCTGATCCCTTCTTCGACATCAAAATCTTTTATTTCCAGCATCTATCATTGACTAACTACATCCTCTCTATTTTTCAGTTTAAATTCTTAAGAGAAAGAAAGTTTCTTTAGTAGCTGGCCAGAAAGTTCATTGGCTGGTTTAGATTGAGTATCCACTCCAGCCCAAGCAGCCGTCACTCCTAAACAAGAACCACCCAGTGGTGTCTTCTCTGCACTGGGAGCTCTGGGCATAGCAGTCTACTGGAAGAAGAAATGGCTGATATGTTCCATGCTCTATAGAATCATTAGACTTCCAGGGAACATTTGGTATGTCCCATACACATTTGGAAACATCTGGTCTGTTTCTCTGCCTCTAGGAAGGATTACCCAAAACTTCCTTCTGAAAGAGCTGTGGTATCCTTAAAAGAGTTGGTCCTAAATTGAATATTGACCCCACCACCTCTGAAACTATCTGAGCTTCAATTTGTCACCTGTAGAATGGGGATAGTAGCACCTACCTGTTGGAGTTGTCTGGAACACAAATGAGATAATGTAGATGCTATTCTCTGCTTGGCACAAGGCAAGAGCTTGGTAAATGGTGTTTCTTTAATTTCTCTGATATTTTATGAACATTCCATAACAGAAAATTATTTGTAATGCATTTTTACTTATTTTTTAATTGCACAATTGATATATGAATATATTTGAATATTTTAAAGCGAATCCTAGACATTATATTTTTTCATTGGTAAATATTTAAGGGTTTTTTTTCCAAATAAGATTGACACCTGAACTAACATCTGTTACCAATCTTTTTTTTTTCTTCTTCTTCTTCCTGAAGCCCCCCAGTACATAGTTGTATATTGTAGTTGTAGGTCCTTCTGGCTCTGCCATGTGGGTCACTGCCTCAGCATGGCCTGCTGAGTGGTACCATGTCTGCACCCAGGATCCGAACAGGTGAAACCCTGGGCCGCCAAAGTGGAGCATGCGAACTTAACCACTTGGCCACGGGGCCAGCCCTAAGGGTGTGTTTTTAATAAATAAAGTCTTTCTATAAACACAGAACCACAATACCATTATCACACCCAATACATTAAAAATAATTCCTTTGGTATCACCAATAGTAAATCTATGTTTGATTTTTCTCAATAGTCTCAAAAATATCTTTTTATGGTTGTTTGGTTTGAATCAAAATCCAAAAGGAGTCTATATATTGCACTTGATTGATATGTCTTACACATCTCAGTCAGTCTGTAACCATCCCTCTCTGCTTTTTTTTTTTTTTTAAGAGGAACTGCTCCTTTTTTTAAAATTTAATTTTATTTATTTATTTTTTTGAGGAAGATTAGCCCTGAGCTAACATCTGCTGCCAGTCCTCTTCTTTTTGCTGAGGAAGACGGGCCCTGAGCTAACATCCGTGCCCATCTTCCTCTACTTTATACGTGGGACGCCTGCCACAGCAAGGCTTGCCAGGTGGTGCCATGTCCACACCCGGGATCTGAACTGGCGAAACCTGGGCTGTCGAAGCAGAACGTACAAACTTAACCACTGTGCCACTGGGCCAGCCCCCCTCTCTACTTTTTTATGCCATATATTTGTTGAGGAAAAAAATGCGGTCATTATTCCTGTAGAACTTTCCAATTCAGGATTTGTATCTTCATGGCATCCTTTAGCAGGTTCTTCTTTCCCCATATTTCCTGAAAGCTGGTACATAAATCTAGAGGGTTAATTAGATTTAGATTCAAATTATTTTTCTGGCAAAACTATAAAAGAAATGTTTTTATGCTATCTTTTATGTTTTAAAAGCTGTGAATTTGAAATAGCGACTCAGTAGTTCGCATGGCATTTTGCACTTAGGAATACAAGATTCCCAAGAGAGGAGGAGGTAAGCCATTCACTCTGGTTTCTGACTTATGCATAAGTGAATCACTTTCTCTTGGAGAGTTAATGGTACTTAGGACTGCTATCTGCCAGAAAATGCAGATGAAAGTTATAATTACCACTTTGTCGCTAATCAATTTATTAGGGATATCTTTAGTCATATACATCTTTGCCTGAAGATGTTCATGTACCTTTAATTAAAGATACCAATTCCTTGCTTACATTCTAAACTTGGAATAAAAATGTTTGAAATGACTAGTGCCTAGAGAAAGTGCCAGAAGAAAATGGAACTGCCTTTGAAATTTTTTTCTTTTTTATAATTGTTTAAAACGAACTAATACAAATTACGAATGGAAAAGCAAACGCAGGTACACTGAAGCAGGACTATAGTGTTGTCCCGGAGTGCTAGGGATGTCCAAGAAATAATAGTCCTCCCTTCCCTACCTGAGCTGGGAACAGAGAGCTAGATAAAGAAATCAGACAGACGATGATAAAAACAATTGCTCCATGTCTGATAAAGCTGTTTGGAGAATGTGACTCAGGTCCACAGCAATAATGAACTTGCAGTCACTCTGATCTTCTATATTAGATGTGCCATTCCCCTAGTCAGAAACAGTAAGACAACCAGAGGCCTCTCTGAGCCCAGTGTACATGCCAGGTTCTTTTTCCCAAACTCACCACTTCATAACTCACTCTCCCTTCTCTGGAGGGAGGAGGAAAGTGAGTGAGGAGTCAGGGTGCAGCCAAGAGTAGTAACTCAATGGAGGTTTAATCAACATGGAAACAAGTGGAAATAGGTGTTTCTCCTTCACTGAGGCCCATGATATGCAAGAATATCATAGGTCAAACCCAGGTTCAACACAGCATTTTCAGCAATGAGCACCCTCACATTTAGTTGGTCCCAAATCATATCAACTTCCACACTATAGCAGCTCATGTTCAACTGGACAAACATTTGTGGAGTGTGTGCAAGTCGCAGTGCTGGCACATGCCAAGATGGAAAAAGACACACTCTTTGCCCACCAGAGGCTCATCTTCTAGTGGGTTCTCAGACACATGCACACAAAATAGGTGTGCAGCCCACTGTGCTAGGCATTGTGGCAGACATGGAGATGCTCCGCACAGACCTTCCTTAGGAGAAGACTCACTGTCCAGCTGTGGGGACTGTGGTTGGCTGAAGTGGACCGCTTCAGGGTCCGCTTCACCCTTCAAGCCATGGTCATGCTCCTCCTGGACAGTTCCTGCCCAGTGACTGAACCAGGTAGTAACTGAGGTCACGCTTGTTTTGGTTGGCCCCAGCCAATGACTAAGCAAGGTGGTGATACAAGGGCCTGGCCATTTCCACCCAAGACAGGATTCCGCTGGGCAATCTTTGCTCCTGAGCTTCCCATTGGGCTAGTGTAGGGTTACCAGCTGTCCTAGTTTGCTGGGACTGAGAGATTTCCCAGGATGTAGGACTTCCAGTGCTGAAACTGAGAAATTTCCAGGCAAAGTGGGATGGTTGGTCACCTTCGCTGGTGTAGACCTTCTTAGGTCTGCATCAGGGTCTGACAGCTCCCTCTGCCCAGTCCTGCTTCCTCCCCTTTTTCCTTTCACAGGTATTACTCCCCAAGAAACTTTTTGTCCTGCTGACTTCATCTCAGCTTCTGCTTCCGAGAGCACTGGACCCAAGACAGGGGCACACGTAGCACAGAAACTAGGAAGGACCTAAATAGTGCAAGACGAGGCTGAAAGAGGGTAGGAGGGCAGGGGAAAGATTAATTTGACAACTGCAGGGATGCTTCTGTGGATAACTTTTTCAGTGGACTATTTGTTCTGCACCCTTTGAAAAAGAGAAGAGGCCTACGTAAATACTCAATGACTTAAGATTCCCTAATCTGCATTTGAATACTCAAAATGGAGACTTTGCCCCAAAAAAGCCAACCTTGTCTCTGTGCCTTCTTTAAACATGCTTTCTTATTAATTTCTATGATGTAAGAAGAAAAATGAAAGCTTCAGCTTTTCTGAGAAGATTCTTAAAATCAAGAGAGAACATGGGCAGAATGTTACTGCTGGAGAAAGGGGAAGGCATCCTTCAGGGCTGGGACTAAGATAAGGAGAGCCCGGTGCTTAGAGTAGAACATTTAAGGGAGCGCTCACTGTCAGGGTCGTGTGAGTTCAGAGTCAGCACTTGCATGAACCTGAGAGGGAGCACTTCCTTAAATTTTGCACCCCAGGTGCCTCGCTTGCCTCACCCTAGTCCCAGCCCTGGCATCCATAATAATATTAGACAACTTACCCAGAACGTTCTCTCTTTCCTCCCCCAGGTACAAAGCCATCGTCCGGCCAATGGATATCCAAGCCTCTCATGCCTTGATGAAGATCTGCCTGAAAGCAGCACTGATCTGGGTCATCTCCATGCTTCTGGCCATCCCAGAGGCTGTGTTTTCTGATCTACATCCCTTCCACGAGGAAAGCACCAACCAGACCTTCATTAGCTGTGCCCCGTACCCACACTCTAATGAGCTGCACCCCAAAATCCACTCCATGGCTTCCTTCCTGGTCTTCTACATCATCCCACTGTCGATCATCTCTGTCTACTACTACTTCATTGCCAAAAATCTGGTCCAGAGTGCTTACAATCTACCCATGGAAGGGAATATACACATCAAGAAGCAGGTGGGTGCTTAGGATTGATTCATTTCCTCCTTGGGGCTTTGATCCCTTGCATTTCTTTTGCACCTCACTGACGAGTATAGTATTTAGGTGGTCGCCTGATTCTGCAGTTAGAGGAGGTGGGTGATCTGCGGCCAGATGGTAAATGGAAACTCCTAGTCACAGAAGCCCAGGAATACAGCTGTTCTTTATAATCTTCTTCTCTTATTAAAGACCTAAGCTAGGGAGGTGTTGAGAACCTGAAAGATTTGGAGTATGGGTTTCTTTTTGAGAAATATCTGGAAAAGCATTTTTGTTTAAAAAATAAAATGTTGAGGCTCATAGGGATATGACTTCTTTTTTTTTTTTTTTAAAGATTGGCACCTGTTAATCTGTTGCCAACCCTCTTTCTTTTTCTTTCTTCTTCTCCCCAAAGCCCCCCAGTACATAGTTGTATATTCTAGTTGTAGGTCCTTCTGGTTGTGCTAGGTGAGACGCCACCTCAGCATGGCTTGATGAGCAGTGATAGGTCCACACCCAGGATCCAAACTGGTGAAACCCTGGGATGCCAAAGTGGAGCACCCGAACCCAACCACTCGGCCACAGGACTGGCCTTGGGATATCACTTCTTTAAACTCTGATCATGTTGTTTGGATAGAAAGAGAGTCACCACATGGGGACAAAGCAGAGGGGGCAGGAAAATGAGTCTGGTTGAAGAATAAGACGTAGTTTGATGAAGACAGGTTCACACTGATTTGAGTTCAAATCCAGGCTTCATGACTTACTAACCCCCTCAGAGCCTCAATGCTCTTATCCATGATTTAGAGTAATAAGCCCTATGTTGTAAGGCTGTTGGAGGATTACAAGAGATAGCATATGTACCCTTAGAGTGCCCAGAAGGCAGGATGGCCTCCATATGTGTTAGACTCCCTTCCCCATCTCCCACAGTCCCCCATAATTTCATCCTTGAGGTATGAATGGTAGAAACCGGGAACTCTGTCTTTCTCCTCAGTTCTTGCTTTCTAGTCCAAAGGTGGATCATGTGGTATGTATGATGAAAAAGCAGAAAGACTTCCCAGCCATTTAAAGGTATAACTGACTCAGTTGGAGGCTTCACCTCTCAAAGTTCTTTTTTTTGCCTCAACCCAAATTCTTTAATGAGAAAGACGTTTCCCCTTGTGGTAGCAGAGGGAGTTGGGAGCAAGAGGAGATGCTCAGCCTGCTTTGTCTAAGAACTGCTTTGTCTAAGAACTTCCTGTATAGTTCAGAAATAACATGAGATTAAAAAAAATAATAATAATAGGGAGATATTTTGGTTTGGCCAGTGTGGAAGAACAAATCTGGGTGTTTTTTTGAGCATCAGAGGGAATAAGAAATTATTAACTGTGGAGCCAAGAAAGACATGAAGTCATATGGCTGATAAACTTCACCAAATGCCCTCCTGAGGAAAAAGAGGGCATTTACTAGAACTTCATCGCGCAGTCCATTCAAGCATATAATCAACTTTGTTTAAAGATCTATTCTCCGTGGCACGTTCTAACTGTACTCTGCTTCATGGATTTCTGCTTCCTGGCTTTTTCATTTCTGTGTTTCTGGCTCCCCTCCCCACTTTTTCTGTCTGTTTCTGTTGCTTTTTCCTCATGTATCTGCTTCTCTCTTGTCCTCTCTCTCCTATTGAACTTTTTCCGTGGCTTTGTGAGCTCATCTATTTCACTAATTCTTTTCCCCTGTCTTTATCTTTGTCTCTCTGCAATCCTCCCACACTGTCTCTCTGTCCCTCTGTCTCTCTGTGTGTGACTCTCTCCTTAGATTGAATCCCGGAAGCGCCTTGCCAAGACAGTGCTGGTGTTCGTGGGCCTCTTTGCCTTCTGCTGGCTCCCCAACCACGTCATCTACCTGTACCGCTCCTACCACTACTCCGAGGTGGACACCTCCCTGCTCCACTTCGTCACCAGTATCTGTGCCCGCCTCTTGGCCTTCACCAACTCCTGTGTGAACCCTTTTGCCCTTTACCTGCTGAGCAAGAGTTTTAGAAAACAGTTCAACACCCAGCTTCTCTGTTGCCGGCCTGGCCTAATAACCCGGTCTCATAGCACTGGCAGAAGTACCACCTGCATGACCTCCTTCAAGAGTACCAACCCCTCTGTGGCCACCTTCAGCCTCATCAACGGAAACATCTGTCATGAGGGGTACGTCTAGACTGACCCTTGACCCTGTCCCCCTAGGAACCCCTGGTTTTTCTTTATGGCTTGTAAGGAACCCTCACATATGTTGTTGTCTCTGTACCCTCCAAAGACCCTTTGGAACGCTCATGAGTGGTGTAGGTGGGTTGGGGAGAGGCCCAAATGGATCACTATTATGTTTGAAAGGCCCATCAAGGCTTAAGTTTTCCACTTCAACTTATGAATGCTTCTTCTGATGTAGAGCAAACTTTCCCTTTTTTAGAAAAGGGAACAGATAGGAAATTATTATTTTAAGCATCATGCCCTGATATACAGGTGTGGTCAATTAAGTCATGGAAACTATAGTCATGCGTCACTTAATGGGGGGGTGTTCTGAGAAACGCGTCGTTAGGTAAGATCGTCGTTGTATGAACATCACAGAGTGTACTTACACAAACCTAGATGGTATAGCCTGCTACACACCTGGGCTATATGGTACTAACCTTATGGGACCACCCTCATAGATGTGGTCTGTCGTTACGTGGTATGCATGGCTGTACGTGAACAACTAGATTTACATAGCAGAAAAATTATACATAGAATGTCCAGTTTGTGAAAGACTTCACCTTGTCATTTCTTTAAGCAGAAGCTAGTGCTTTAAAAATATGATTTGAGTCATCTTTCAGCAATATTTATAATCACAAACCAAGGAACTTTTTTTTTACACTTGTGACATGAAAAGTCAACCCTAAGAAAGAATCTCATGCATAAGGGACAGTCGCCAAATTCATAACACTGGAAGCCAGTTTAAAACAAATCCCTGAGTGTTGATTATTTTTAAAAGACATTGCTGAGGATATAGGAGAAACACTCAACACATCATTTCAAGGCGAAAACACAACCAAACATTGACACATATAAAGATCCATGCGTGGCTGTGGAGTGCTATCTCCCACTCTGAGTTCTACATATAAAGATCCATGCGTGGCTGTGGAGTGCTATCTCCCACTCTGAGTTCTACATATAAAGATCCATGCGTGGCTGTGGAGTGCTATCTCCCACTCTGAGTTCTACATATAAAGATCCATGCGTGGCTGTGGAGTGCTATCTCCCACTCTGAGTTCTGACCTGATGGAGGTCCTCTCGGCTGTTATCCAGTTTTAATCATCCCCGGTGCAATTCTATCATACAAGAGCAATCCTTTTGAGGGAAAACTGATCATGCTATCAATTCCTCAAACATTTGTAAGTGCATAAGGGATAGTATTTATTTTTGGTATACAAGTATTCAGCCAAATGTATTTACTTATAGTTGGCTGTCCTTGTCTGCTACATTGAAGCAGTAGTTTCATAAGAGAAAAAAGGGATCATATCTGAGTGGAAATAGAAATGTGTTTACATTTAACATATGCCTCACCTAAAGTCTGTGGGAGGAAATGAATAAAATTTCAGTAATATGTATTTTCGTCTGAATATGTATAAGAAAGTTGCAGGGGGCTTAGCTCTAAGAACTGATTGAAAAACAGCTACAGATACATTGTTTCTACTTAAGAAGAGTGCTTATGAAACAGCCCATGTGCAGAAAAATACTGGATTTAAATCTTTTTCTTTTTCTAAGTGAGTAAAATGATTTGACCCTCTTACTTTAGAAACCCTGAATCAAGTTTTTCTTGACTTGAGGACAGGCCAATTCTGACAGATTACAAACATGTTAACCCACTTTCAGATAAATCCAAATTCTGCAAATATGCCCTAATGTGTATCTCTTACTTCTTAAGACAATTTTACTTCTGGTTTTCTCTATGCAGGTGAGACAGAACAGTCAGCTCTCTTTTTCACATGGCAAATATTAAAAGATTTTTGTCTCTTGATATGAGGAAGTACTCACTGTCTGCAGAGCTTCAGAAGTTAGGACCAAGACAGTTGTAAAGATCTATGGTTACGGTTTTGTCAGCTGGTTTCCCTTCTTTTTGCTACGTTCACCTATTTACTGTGCATACCTGCTTTCCTGGCAGTCCATAATTACATTGGACAGTTTGAAAAGCAAGACAGGTAGTGTAACTGAAAGAACCAAGATTTTTAACTTGACATCCCACCTCTGTCTCTAGCTATAGGATCTTGGCTATCAAATTCCTGTCTCTAGTCCCATTTTTTCATCTCTAGAATGAGAGGATGGTACTAAGGTCCCTTTTATGGCTAAAAACCTCTGAATTTAGTCATTGTCTCTAGTTCTGTCTCTAAAGCATTTCTGTAGCCCACCTGCTCGCAGTTGCCCCTCTTGCGCTACCTTTGCAACAACTCCTCTTGGGAAATCCTTCAACCGCCATTCCACATGTTCACATTAGTGGAATGGAAGGAGACAGACCATTCTATTGCTTCCAGGGGCTCCCTGGAATAATTTGTAGGAATGATGTCCCATTAGTTATGTTTTGGAATTAAAGAGACATAGGAAAACATGTTGTTCAATCTCCTCCTTATGCAAAGGGTTCTCTTCCTATTCACCCTTCTTCAACCTCCATGCACCTGTTTTCTTGGACCACTGCTCCACAATTTTACCCTTGGCTTTCTTCAAAACTCCGGAGTATAAATGACTCCATATCTAGTTAGTTGCTAAGGTATATAGCTTTCTGGGTACCTAGCATGACTTGTTCAAGCATCTCTGATCTACCTGCTTCCAAAGACATTTTGGGAGTAGGACTCATCTTAACGTCTCCTTCAGTTAATGTCATGGCATGGATTGTGTCTGGTCTCCTCCCTATCTTCTGGATGAACAATGAAGAGATTGAAATCTAGGTCTAGCTGTGTGTCTTTAGGCAAATAAGGAAGGAGTTAGAGGAGGCCTTTGCCAGCCGGTGACCTAGGAATGGTAAAACTATTTCGTGAATCAGGTGATGGATTGACTCAAACCTCCTTATTGGGTTGGACTTAACTGGACTCTTCTCTAGAGAAGTCAAATTTTTATCCCGCCTGAAGAACCCAAAATCACGGTGAGAGAGACCCAGACCCCCACGTGGGATCACCTCTCTGCTAGGGCTGAGTGGCAGGGGCTGGAGCTAAGACATTTCACGCCTGGCTTCCAAAGATAATCACGTTTAGTGCTTATGTCTTTGGCGAGGAAAAAAAAAATCAATTTTTGCTGTGGAAAACCATCTGTGTTTATTCAATTGACAGACAGTACCTTTCAATCTATCTTAAATTGAGCCTCCCTGAGGCAGGCAGCTCAACAGTGATAGATTAAGCAATAAACAAAGCAGTCTTCCCACCAACAGCTGCTGCGGGCGGGGAAGGTGCAGCTGCTGTTAGGAGCTATCTTCCACAGCAGGCTCATCTCCCTGCTCGGCATAGGCAAGTCTCCTCCCTGTTGTTGATTTGATGATTCCCCATAAATATGGATAGCTAAACCCTGTTCTTCTGGTTGCCCTCACTCCCCCATTGAACCTGGCCTTCCGCCTCATTAACAAGCCCTGGATTTTCCGCTTTGCCCCACAAACGATTTCATTTCATCTTGAAACATGGAGAACCCTTAGGTAAATAAACAGTTTAGAGGCTGCTTCACATAAACCAAGCTCAGCTTGTTATGAAAATGCACATTGAACAGAAATAAATGAACTTGTCCGTAGGACATGGGCACACAAGTTATAAAGTCTTTGTTTATGCAAAAAGTAAAAGTTGGCTATTGGTTTCAGAGTCTATTCATGCACCAAATGGCTTCTAGTAATAGAAATCAGCTTTGTTCAGGGACTACAAGTTGAATGACATCCTCAACCTGTGGACTGAAAGGTAGCTAAGTCATTTTTTCCGATGCCATATAGAAACTATCGCCCTGGGAACCTGACTATATGAGAGTTCAATGAATAGTATGTACTTATGGTGCATGGTGAGATGGGAGGGATGCAAACTTTCTTGCCATTTGTGCCCTTCACGCCCACACCAGGAGGGAGCCATTATTAGAGAGTAGCTTAAGATTAGCCCCGGGTTGCTGGGAGGAATGGAGCACATTTTGTACATTTGTTTAATTTTTGGCTGAATTTTCATAAAGTGGATTAACAGCAGAAAACAAAGGAATTATTCACTCTCCTGGGACCAGGCTTTGTGTAAGCTATTCAATAAAGCCAAGCCCTAACAAGTTCTACTTTATTCTGTATCTGGATGGTCATTCCTCTTGGTCCCCACCTCAACACCCCTCCCACCCTGCACCCAACACAAACACAAGAGATTTAATATTAAGCAATCTCTTACCATAACTTGGGCCTTCAAAGACACCGCTTTTTTAGGTGGAGGGGGCTAAGTATTAACTCCGGCTGAAAATATCCATAGCAGTCAACAAATAGCACATTGAGCACAGACTTTTCTCTTGTGAAATTTTATGTTAGAAATGTGTTCTGATTCTTTTAAAAGTCTAAGAGTTCTTGGGTTAAAATAGTACATGTCCATGATTAATTCAAAAAATACTTTGTATTTACCTAGTGTTCATGGTCTATAAAGCACTTTTATACTCATCGTCTCATTGCTAAGCCTTCCCTGCTGGCCAACGAGCTGCTTTTCATCCTTTTCTATGGAAATTTGTAAATGACATTTACTAGTGACCATCTACGCTTAGATTAAAAGGCCCATGGAACTATGAGGCTGAAACATGTGAAACTGCCAATATTGGACCATATTTGACCTACAAAGAGGTGATTTCATATGATTCAACTTAATCTGATTTCATGCATTCTCATGGCCCATTTTGTGACATTGAAGAACAGTGCTGATCATCACTTCCCCAGTTTACAGGATAGTCTGTGACCCCCAAAGTGAGTCTGTTTAATTTGGCACAAGGGAGTGAACAGTGACATTGTTGGTTGCCCAGGAGAGGCATATTAGTGGGAACAGCATTCCACATCACAATGAAGTGGAAGGCTGATTAGAAAGGCAGGATCTTTGGGAGCAAAAACACAAGCCACAAAACAACCATATTTGTCTGAAACCTGAATGGAGTTCTGTGGCTCTAGAAGTGCTGGAAGGAAGGGGCTCAACTTCACCAAGTACCAATGAGTGCCAAATGCAGTGCTAAGCACATTGCTCTTCATCCTCACAAGTACCTTGAAGGGTCTTCAGATGATGAAGCTGAGGCTTAGGGAGATTACTTCCTGATCCCAAGGTCACATGGCACAGTTGAATGGCAGAGTGTTAACGTAGACCTGGATCTCTGTTAAGTCTATGTCCATTCCACTGTGCAGCATTGCTTCCCAAATCTAGCCCATGTAAGAAACTAAGTTCACAGTACCTAATAGGCAATACTGTTCCCTACTCTAGATTTTGTCCAAAGACCTGAACTAGTGATAGAGTCAAAGAATATACACAAAGAGCATCGAAGATGTTTCTAAGTACATAAGTTAAGGACTCGCTGCAGGTAGAAGTTGAAATGCACCACAGAGTAGGTGGGCAGGAAGTCCTCTACTTAGTTCAGTTGCCTCCAGAGACACAATTCCCGGAAAGTCTTGGGAAGAATGTCCCACCTTGTTCTGTGACTAATTGGGGAGAACAAACCTTGGCAAAGGGCCAGGTGCACAGAGAGGACCCAAGTAAGAACAGTCAAGCCAGGCATCCTTCTTTGAATCAGGATTAGTTGGAGAAAAGGTGTCAGGAAGAGGTGGAACCACCCATTCCCCTACTTCCCCCTGGCGAGAGTAAGAAATGGCAGTGGATGCTTTCCCAGAGTCTGGAGACCCGGGCTACATGAATAGCCTCTAACAGAAAAATATCCCCTGGACTAAGAGGCTGAGTCATGCGCTCAGGTATGGACTTAGGTATCTGAGTGCCTACCCCTAAGTGTCCTGTTATAAACCCAGACACCACTGTCTCTCTGCCCTCTCTGAGCTCACATTCTAGAAGATAAGATTATTTTCCATATTTTCCCCCAAATTGAAAATTCATTCCCAGAGCCATATAATGACATGGAAGGGCTCACATAATTTTCGGGTCTTTTAAAAGGCTTAGTTTAATGGATAGTAAAACCTCACACATTCAACACCTCATTAATTCTCAGACAAGCTTGAAAATTTTGGTATAACTCAGGATTTCAGTGTCGTTAGATTATATAATTTGGGCCTGTTGTGAATCCAAATTTTTTCATCACTTCGCTTCAGTTTTAGCTATTGATATTGGTATATCAATATTGCTAATGTACAACATTAGGAAATTAAAACTGATTTTCTTGAAAAAATTTGCTTTCTGTGATCTGGGCTTAACTGATTCAAACATGGCCTTTCTTGCATCCAAGTCAGCAGGGTTTTGGGTAATAAAATTTGTTGAAATGATCAATTTGGTGAGTTGTCAAAATACATGGCACAAGCTTCTTTAATGTCATTTTCTGTTTTGTTTTAAATATTAGACCCATATTTTGTAAATTATAATTGTACTCATTACTATTAACTGTAAATATTTATTGCATTAAAAATGTGCTCTGTGTTAAATAACTCAGAACAAGTTCCAGGTGCGGTACTTTGTGTAAACAATGTCATGGCTTGGCTTCGCCTAGACTCCTTAGACTAATGAATTATTTATAAGAAATTCACAATATTAATATGAATGACTCAGATCCTTTTAAATGTGCAAACTTAACTGTGTGACCATGTAAAATTCTATGAAATGTGCTCAGTGATTGTATTCTTATTTTTCAAGAAATGTTTCCAATGCTTCTATCACGTTGTACTTGGTCTGTATGACATTAAGTCAAATCCCATGTAGTAAGCTGAATAGTCAAGTTGTAGAAGATAAGAAATGTGTTTTATTTCTTAATATAATAAAGCATAATTTATGAAATGGACAGATGCATGTATTCAGTGTTCAATAAAAATAGAGCTGTTGCATGAATGTTCCTTGGTTCTTTGGACCATCTACATCAGAACCACCCAGGCTGCTTGTTGCAAAATGCAGATTCCCTAATTCCCTATTGACTTGGAACATCTGGGAGTGTGGCCTAGAAATCTAAATTTTAAAACAAGCACTCCAGGTGATTCCTCAGAACACTAGAGTTTTGTTTTATCAAACTTTTAAAATATGTATTTGTTTTGAATAAATAAGCCATTATCATAGCTCAAAATTAAAATGATAGAAAGATATTCAGTGAGAAGTCACTAGGCTACCGCTGTTCCCTGTCCTCACAGTTCCCAGCATCTATCACCACTCTGCTCCAATGGGTGACGATTATTAGTTTCTTATATATGTATACTACTGGACATTTTCTATGCATATGCAAATAAGTACAAATATGTTTTCCTGCATCTCTCTGCCATTTTACAGAAATGGTAGTGTACTATATGCATTGTTTTGCCCCTTGCTTGCTTCACTACACACCATATCTTGGAGATCTTTCCATATCATCGTACAAAGCTCTTCCTCGTTCTTTCTTACATCTGTGTAGTATCTCCTAATTTATTTATCTAGTCCCCAGTGATGAACATTTAGTTTGTTTCCAGAATTTTGCTATTATGAACCATGTTGCAATGAATAACATATACAATTTCATGCATGGGCAAGTGTTGCTTTAGGAAAGAATCCTAAATGTGGAATTGCAGGAACAAAGAGCATATACCTTTATAATTTTCAGTTATTCCAAATTGGGCTCTTTAGGGCTTGAATACCAAAGTTTGAGAGCCTTTGTTTTCTGGGATAATCCTAATCATCAGAAAGCAGGAAAGAAGTAAAGAAATGATACAACCATGGCTTACAAATGGGAGCTATGCCAGCTCTCTACACCCTAGGTGAGAAGAGGTAACCAGACATGCCTATCAGAGACAGCCAACAAATTCCTTGAGGGACATGGTGACAGCCATGCCAAGGGGGCCCCAGAGTGTGTGGGTGTGTACAACTACCACCATGGAGTCATCTTGGGAGAAGGCTCTCTGCTCCCCAGATATCTCACCACCTCCACTGCCCTGCACCCCATCCCCTTGATGTGTGGTGTGTATAGCCCACAGCTAACCTGTGAATGCTCTCTGAAAGTGTAACACTTTAAACAGCAGAAAATGATGCTTCAGAGTTGTGCCTAAAGTAGACCTTGTATCTCTAGTTTTCCGGAATTAGGTAGGAAGATGGGCAGACTAAAATCTTTGAGACACCCAGGGCCCAAAAATCCAGATTAACATTTAAGGTTGGTCAATGTTAATTGCCTCCACCTGAAGCCCAGGTGATTTTTCCTCTTAGAAACTCTGAACTCTCTCTTTGTAAGTGTGCTGCCTACCATCTCAGAAAAGAAAGCTTTATTAATTGTAATATTAGAATTTAATATTCTCTTAGGGTCATGGATTATTGGAGTTGGAAGACATCCTAGAGAATGCCCAGACACAACCCCACATCTCAAAAGCGACGAAGTTAAAGGGAAGTGTCACGATTTGACGAGTTACTCATTTTTCACTTTGGGAAAATGAAAATTAATTGGCTTGGAGATAATGTGGATGAGGAGAGGTTCATCAGGCCCTTCTGCTAGAGGGAAGATGAATCCATGCGGGACTATCCTGTAAAACACCAGGCAGAGAACCTTCCTGTTCACTGGTTCATAGATAAACAATGGCTTCTAATACAAGAGAGATGGGATAACATCTTGTCAAGAAAACGAGACAAAAGCAGGAGTCCTGTCGCTGAACATGGACGGAACTGTGCTCACTATCATAAAAGGAATTTCTAAAAGCACATTCCCCTTCCCAGAGCTGAGATCAGAGAGGTCAAGCATTTTGCTCCAGATCACTTGTCAACTTTGCCACCTAACCTGTGTGTTTCCCAGTGTCCCTTCCCACCTTCCCACCTTGCATACTAAATTTGTGACCACTGACGGAGAACATCACTTACTGTGATGTCCATATCACAGTAATTCCATATGTAAATCCATATTGGGCTTGATACTTTCTCTGTGCCACCTGGTGCTGTCTACACATCTCCCCAAAACTTCTGAGTGGAGAGCCTTGGAATCCCTTTCCTGATGTGGCCTGTGTTCACCACCTTAGTCAGTTGGACCTAAACTCTGTCCATGCAGAGTGGCAAGGTTCCCCAGTGCCCCATCTCTGCTCTCCAAGGACTGGGAGAACATGAATTCAGGACTTCAGCCTTGCAGGACTGCTCACCCTTATCAGCCTGCAGTCATCTTGGAACTCACCACACAATTGATTATTTTTCCTTTCTTGTGGTTTACAAATGTGTGTACAAATACAACAGTGGCTATGGTCTGTTGTACTCACGTCATACCTTGCCCAGAAAGCCTAGTTTTACCTGATAGCAACTAGTAGGACACGTCATGCTTCTCAAGTTCCTGTGAAAAACATTTGTCCAAAAAAAAACCTGTATCTGCTTCTTGCTTACTGTTTTTTTCAAAGGACTGAGAGCTATCTGCCCATTAAACCCAGCTCAAAGAAAGTATTGGGTTTCTGATTAGATGTTGTTGTTCCAATTTTATCTAAGTCAGAAGAGGTTGTTAAAAGGTCCAGTGTACCTGCCCTCTCAGAAGCAGAATCCTGACTGCAAGCAAAACCTTCTTTGCTGTTCTTTTAGAGCGGGAGGGTGCAGACCGGCTTGAACAAATGAAAAGGGAAAGCATCTCACAAGCCAAAGGCTAAAACAGTTTGGTCCTATCTGAATTTTGTGAAGAGAACAAAGGGGCAGCAACCCCCTTACCGTTCTCTCGGTCTCATGGTGTCTTGAAATTTCTGCCTTTTTGCACATTTTAAGTGAACATAGAAAAGGAGTCACTCCAAATTGTGCAGGTGCCTAAGAGTAAAGGCCAGTCCCACTTTGATGCCAACTGGTTATTTATATTCAAAACCAAAATCACTCTATCTCAAGATCCTTCACTTCTTCCTCTGTTCTGTTTGCCCTCTAATGGCTGTCAAAAATCCCCCAAATCGTCGAAACTCAAAACCTTACCATCATCTCTGGCTCCACCCATTTAGTATCACCCACATCCTCCTAGTCCCCAGGGTCTATAAATGTCCCTCCCAAATGTCTCAGGTATAAGAATCCACCTCCCCAGGGGCCAGCCCTGTGGCCAAGTGGTTAAGTTTGCACTCCGCTTCGGCAGCCCAGGGTTTCACTGGTTCGGATCCTGGGCACGGACCTAGCACCGCTCATCAAGCCATGCCGAGGTGGCATCCCACATAGCACAACTAGAAGGACCTACAACTAGAATATACAACTACGTACTGGGGGGTTTTGGGAGGAAGAAGGAAAAAAAAAAAAAAGATTGGCAATAGACGTTAGCTCAGGGCCAATCTTCAAAAAAAAAAAAAAAGAACTCATCTCCCAAAGGCTATATTCATCTAGTTGAAAGATACTTTCTCACTCATGGGTAAAGAGCTGCTGGTCTGAGCACCCAGGTGCCTCCCTGTAGCCTTAACTTCTCCTCCAGGACCCCATACTTCTCCACGATCCAGAAACTAAAAGGTCAAGTCCCCAGAGCTGGGGGCTCCAGGACTGGAGAGTGGAGCCCATTCTGATGGGCTAGTACCCATGTGACGCCCAAGTTGTTATAATCTTACCCTCACCCCTGAATCTGCTTAGCCACATGTCACTGCCCTAGATAAGACATGCTCCTTGTTTTGCGTAAACTCTTGCAAATAGTCCCTAATGCACTCTTATTTTTATTTATTCTTCACACGTCTTTTACATTATGCTTCCTATGCACCCCTCTGATCATGTTGCTCTCATGCCCACATTCTGTTCTTGGGCTCTTTTCCTAGGACAAAATCCAACTTCTCTGACCTGGATGTCAACTCCCTACTTCCCAAGCTTATCTCCCCCTGCACCACCCCGTCCCGGGCGCACCTAGAGATCTCTTCCATTCGCACTTTGCTCCTAATCATTCCCTCACACCTCTTTGGCCTGGTGCTTCTCAACTTGGGCTGCCCTTAGAGTCCCCTGGGGAGCTTTAAAAAATCCTGATGCCCAGGCCTTGACTCAGGACAATTGAGTCAGAATCTCTGGGAGGGGAGAACCAGGCATCCCTATTTCAAAGCTCCCCAAGCGATGGCAGTGAGAAGACAAGGTTGAGGATCACCTCAACTGAAATGTCCTCTTGGATCCCATGGCCTGAATCTAACCCATTCCTCAAAGCTCAGCAACAATGTTCTCTCTCATTGAGCCTTCTTGCTCTCCTGGGCTCGCACACCACTTTCTACACGGGTCCTAGCCTTTATCATATCCTGCTTTGAACTACATTTACTTGTGTGAATGCTGGTCTCTCCCACTAGATCAGGGATTGGCAAACATTTTCTGTAAAGGGCCAGATAGTAAATATTTTAGGCATTGTGGAACATACAGTCTATATCAACACTACTCAATTCTGCCATTGTAGTATGAAAGCAGCCATAGATAACATGTAAATGAACGAATGTGGCTGTGTTCTAACAAATCTGTATTTGCAAAAAACAAGTGGTGGGCTAGATTTGGCCAGCCGTAGTTGCTGACCCCTCATGAGACTAAGAGAGTGCTTCAGAGGCAAGAATCTTTTCTTTCTTTTTTTTCTCGCTTGCTTGCTTCCTTCCTTTTCTTCTTCTTCTTCTACTTCTTCTCTCTCTCTCTTTCCTTCCTTCTTTCCATCCCTAGTGTCTATTATAGTGCCCGAATCGATGAGAGAAACCCACAGAGCTCCCTTTGTGGAGCTCTGTATAGTCAGTCTCACAACCACAGCCTACAGCGTGGGCAGACAAAGTGAAGCAGGAAGAGTCAGAGCTCATCAATTCTGCCTTGGAGGCAAATATTAATATTTATCTTACTTATTCCCAATAGCGCTCTCAAACAAATGATTGCCATTTGCAGTGCAGAGTCACTCCTCAACAGTGAAAATGCTTTCCTATGCCAGGACTGATTTTCCAGCTGTACTTGGATCTCCTTCTTCCATGCTGTGGGCTAGTGAGCATCTTGAGGTTAATAAGGTGTAAGCATCTGAATAGAGGTCGGTGTCTGTAAGAGGGAGCTGTCCAATTTGCAAATCCAAACTGTAGGAAAACACCCTGATTAGCAGCATCAACTAATGTTGGCACAATTCACTATTATTAACAAAATTATGCCCGCTCCAGATGTGGGTGAAAGGAACCAGGGCTCCCTGGCCTGTAACCACAGAGAAGCGCACCTTCTAAGAGCTCCTTAATGTACATCACTGTGGGTGGTCAAACCTGTTACAAGGTGTCTTAGTCCGTTCCGGCTACTATAATAAAAACGCTATTGACTGAGTGGCTTATAAACAACAAAAATTTCTCACAGTTACGGAGGCTGCACGTCGAAGATCAAGGTGCCAGCAGATTCGATTATTAGTGAGAGCCTGCTTCCTAGTTCACAGATGGTGACTTTTCACCGTGTCCTCGCACAGTGGAAGAAACAAGGGAGTTTTCTCGGGCTGCTTTTTCTTTTTTTTTTTTTTTTTTGGCTGAGGAAGATTCACCCTGAGCTAACATCCACTGCCAATCCTCTTCTTTTGTTTTTTTGGTATGTAAACTGCTGCCACATCACGGCCACTGACAGATAACCAGTGTAGGTCTGCACCCCAGAACCGAACCTGGGCCGCCAAAGTGGAGTGCACCGAACTTAACTACTAGGCCACTGGGGCTGGCCCATTGGGCTGCTTTTATAAGGCACTAATCCCATTCATGAGGACCCCACCCTCATGACCTAATCACCTCCCAAAGGCCCCACCTCCTAATAACATCACCTTCGGGGCTAAAGTTTCAACATATGAATTTGAGTGTTGGCAGGTATGAACATTCAGTTCACAGCATAGGGGTTCATTTTGAGTAGAAAATATGCTGGTGAAAGACATACAGAGACAAAAGTAATCTTTCTAATGCACAGTCCCCAAGCATGCCTTATTTTAAATAAAACTGTTCCCACACTATCCCACTCACGCCAGCCTTGTTCACATGTCTTTTCCCTACTCCAAAATGTATCTCAGGCAGTAAGAAGGAAGACTGCGTACAAACTATGGGATTGGAATACACAGCTAGCGCAATAAGAATACCAAAATAAATGAGGAGTAAGAATAAAGAAAAAAAAGAGATCATAGTTGGTGACCACGTGATCATCTACATATGCAACGTCCGATCACCTCAAAAGAACAGGGGCTCACAAAATCTTGAGACGCTGTCCCTTCCCTGTGGAAAGTCAACATATTAGAACCTAAGTTACATGGGAGGCTAAGTGTGGCTGGTGAAGAGAAGGAACAGATCAGCTGGCTTTATCTCTGACAGTCCACCACCTGTCCTGGGCCTCCTGCCTTGAACTACAGCGTCCTCATCTCATAAATCTGGGACAAGGAACTATTTTCTGTAAGGTTCACAGTGGAGAAACTGCTTAAGAGTTTGACGGGATGTGGCCTTTCCCAGGAAGCCTTTAATCAAGGAGATAGGAGCCAAAATGAGGACCCTCATGTAAGAGGAATGGGGAGACCAACACTCTAGAATATAGTCAACCCACAGAGACCAGCCTATGGCTGCTCAAAGACCTATAGGGTCCCAGGCAGGCCTGTGAGCATCCCCTTAATTATCCTTCAGGGTTCACAGGAACATAAGTGCCTTGGTCTAAGGAGGGCCACCTCAGGTCAGTTGAGGGAGGGGTACAAGCCTCTGAGGGAAGGACCCAGCCAGAACAGTGGGGTCCCATAGAGTCCTGCCTTGACTATCCCCTGTTGGAGGTCTCTACCAGTTGTGGCTCAGATCTGGCTCACACTGATTTCTAATTCTGTAGTCCCAGCAGGTGAGGGCCTTGATCTGAGGGGTGCAGCCTCAGTTCCTCCAAGAACGGAGTCCCAGGACTAGTCAGGTGCCAAGGTGATGAATTTTAGGAAGCAATGAGGGAATTACCCACACTCGAACAGAGGAAGCACTGTAAGTTCCCCCGTCCTGTGACCCGGGAGGTCCAGGGAGAGTTGCAGGTTGAGGAGCCCCCGCATTTCTGCCTGCAGGGTCTCAGGTAGAGGAAGGCCTTGGTCTAGTGGGAGTGGACCCCAATTCTGCAGAGCGAGTACACCCAAGAACTAACAGGAGTCAAGGTGAGGACCTAGTGATACGAGGGAACCCCCGCCAACAGAGAGTCACACATTCCTAGCGCTCTGTTCTCAGGAAGCCGAGCAGAGCGCTCAGCTCAGAAGCTCCTCGTTTCTGCGTAGAGGGTAAGAGGAGGGGAGGGCCTTCGTAGAGAAGGAGCAGGCCCAGTTACGCACAGGGAGGAGTTTGGACCCTAACTGGAGATCAGGTGAGGACCCCGAATACTGAAACGACAACCTCTCCCCAAAAGAGGAGGCCGCCCAGAGGCCAGCCCCTGGGACTCCTAGGCACGGCAGTCAGAGGTGGGACGGCCCGACTTTCCCTTCTAGGGACTCAGGGAGGGTGTGAGATTGGCGGACTCAAGTCAGTAGGGGGCAGAGTCTCAGGCTCCGATTGATATCATTGGCTTTCCGTTGAACCACCCCTGCTGACAGCCCTGGAGACCCCTAGCAGCCTTGGCTGGATGTGGCTTACTCTCACTTCCGCCTTGGAAGTTTTGAGAAGCTGAGGACTGGGTCTGAAGGGCGCAACCTCTGGTCGGTGGAGAGTGTAATTCCGAGGGCTCGTCAGGTGTCAAAGTAAGGACTTTGAATGTGGACTTAAGTACTTGACTACCCTGCCCGTCACTAAGGGAGCCCACAAAGTCCGGCCTTAGCATCAGCGCGGGGCCGGGTCCCAAAACAATTTTTGGGCCTACTTGTGGGTGGAGGGCACTACGGAGGGGAGGGCCTCGGTCTAAGTGCGGCCTCCGCAGTTCGACTGAAGGAGGACACCTGAGATTTAACTGGAGTCCTCGTGAGACCCTGAGTGCTAATGAGGGGACATCTCCCCCAAAATGGCGGGGGGGAGGAGCGACCAGGACTGGGAGCCCCAGGCAGGAGGGATAGCCAGATGCAGGTCCTGGGCTTTCTCTCTAGCGACTACGGGAAGTGAGGGCTCGGGTGTGAGGCTGATGCACCCACATCAGTTGAGGGAGGAGGCCCAGGCTTGAAACGTATCAGTGGGGTCCCAAACAGTCCCGCCCCTGCTGTGAGCCCTCCGAGGCTCCGTACAGCCGTGGACGGATGTGGCTCACCCTTTCACCTCGGGGAACCCGGAAGCTGAGGACTTTGATCTGAGGGACCCAAACTCCACTAGAGGGTGGGGTTCCAGGACCGGTCAGGTGTGAAGGTGGAGACCCTGAATATGGACTGACACATAACCAAGAGTACTGCTTAGTGGCCCCCTCCTTCCAGTTCTGGGAGTCCTGGCAGAGGTGTGGGGCCAACCTCGCTTGGAGGGCACGGGGGACAGGAGGGCCTTGGCCTAAGCAGTTGACCCCAATTCTGTAGAGGGTGGAGTCCAGGGTGAGGATCCTGAGTGCTAAGGAGGAGACCTCTCCCCAAAAGGGGACGGACCAGAACCCTACCCCTCCTCTTAGCTCTGGGAGGCCCTGGGCAGGTATAGCCAAATGTGATGTGCCCCAACTTCTCCTCTAGTGACTCAGGGAGGTGAGGGCCTTGATCTGGGCCCTGGTTGACTCAACTCAGTAGAGTGAAGAGTTGAAAGTCCTACCCCAAGCCAAAGCCAGAATCATGAGTGAGGACTGAGCTAATGACCCAATGGAGAACCGTGGGATCTGTAGCATCTTGCTCCTGTTCCCAGGCATTGTAAGCCCTAGACAGCTTTGGCAGGATCTGGCTCACCCTGAACTTTCAACTCCGAGGTTCCATTTAAACAAGGACCTTGGTGTGAAGGGCATCATCTCAGGTGGAGTCTCAGGACCGGTCAGGTGTCAAGACGAAGATCTCGTGTGAGGATATGGGGACCAGTTAACCCCCAACGGAGGTCCAGGGCAGAGCTGACAGATTCAGGTGCCCCCTGACTTCAGCTTGCATGGTTTCAGTAGATGAGGGCCTTGGTTTAAGGACTGGCTGCCCTAGTTCAGCAGAGAGAGGAGTCCCAGGCCCTGTTGGGAATATAGGTAAAAATCCTATATGAGGAATAAAATAAGGAAGACAGCTACTTCAGATGAGAGGAGGCTGCATGAAGTCTCACCTCTGTTATTGACCTGGAAAGCCATGGACAGAGCTGTTAGGGCCAGGTGACTCTTCATTTCCCTGGGGGTGAGGAGTTGTCTTAGAAAGGAACAGAGGGGCTGGCCTGGTGGCTAGTGGTTAAGTTCGCATGCTCCACTTCAGCAGCCTGGGGTTCACGGGTTCAGGTCCTGGGTGCAGACCTACATACCACTCATCAAGCCATGCTGTGGTGACATCCCACATAGAAGAACTAGAAGGACTTACAACTGTGATATATAACTATGAACTGGGGCTTTGGGGAGGGAAAAAAAAGATGAAGATTGGCAACAGATGTTAGGGCCAATCTTCTTCACCAAAAAAAAAAAAAAAAAAACCCCAGGAAAAAAAAAAAGAGAGGAACAAAGGAGCAAGGGTCTTGATGTAAGGAGAGTGGTCCCAGGCAGGGCTGGCAGGCGGCAGCCAAAGGCACACTCTAACTTCCTCCACAGGGTCTTCAGGAGACAGGCTAACCAAGAGAACAGGAGCCCTGTGGCATCCTAGAGCAATGCCCTCCAGGACACCTACAGAGGGGCATTCTTAAAGCCACAAGGGCACTCCCTGTTGTAGGGTCTCACACCCTCTCATCCTCCTCCTCCAGGTGCCTGCATCACGTGCCTTCCAGTCACATCTTGCCTGCTATTCCTAACCACGGTCATGCCTCGTGGTCAGAAGAGTAAGCTCCGTGCCCGTGAGAGACGCCGCCAGGCCCGGGCTGAGGACCAGGGTTTCGGGGGTGCTCAGGCCACTGCAGCAGTGGAAGAAGAGTCCTCCTCTTCCTCCTTGCCTGTTTCTGGGGGTACTCCCTCGAGCTCCCCTGCTGCAGGCACTCCCCAGAAGTCTCAGAGAGCCCAAACCGCCAGCTCTTCTGCTGCAGCCACTTTCCGCACAAGTTCTGATGAAAGCGCCCACGAGGAAAATGCAAGTTCCTCCCAGGCCCCACCCTCCTCTGAGAGCTCGTGCAAAGATCCTCTGATCAGGAAGACAGGCGAGTTGGTGAAGTTTCTGCTGTACAAGTATAAAATTAAAGAGCCCATTACAAAGGCAGAGATGCTGAAGATTGTCAACAACAAGTACAAGAAGCACTTCCCAGAAATCCTCCAGAGAACCACCGAGCACTTGGAGCTGGTCTTTGGCCTTGACCTGAAGGAAGTCAACCCCAGTGGTCGCTGTTACGCCCTTGTCAGCAAACTAGACCTTTCTGATGAAGGGGGTCTGAGTGGTTCCACGGGCTTCCCCAAGAATGGGCTCCTGATGCCTCTCCTGGGCATGATCTTCATGAATGGCAACCGCACCACCGAGGAGGAGATGTGGAAATTCCTGAATCTCTTAGGAGTCTATGAAGGGAGGAGGCACTTCATCTTTGGGGAGCCCAGGAAGCTCATCACCCAAGATTTGGTGGAGCAGAAGTACCTGGAGTACCGGCTGGTGCCCAACAGTGATCCTCCATGCTACGAATTCCTGTGGGGTCCAAGAGCCCATGATGAAACCAGTAAGATGAAAGTCCTGGAGTTTTGGGCCAAAGTCAATCATAGTGCCCCCAGTTCCTTCCAGGCCCAGTACGAGGAGGCTTTGAGAGATGAGGAAGAGCGAGCTCGAGCCAGAGCTGCAGCCAGGGCTGCTGCCAGTGCCAGGATCCGCTCCAGGGCCATGGCAGGCAGACCCTCCCAGCCTTAGTGAAGTCTGAAGCAAAGTCTTCACCTTGAAGTTGCAAAGGGCTGTCAACCCTCTCAGTAATGGGGGGCGAGGTGGGGATGGAGAGAGCACAGTATAGCTCTTCTTTGTGTTCTTGTTATTTATAAGTAACTTATAGATTTACCTTTTTTTCCTTATTTTTCCATTGTGTTCTCATTAAAAAGGTTTATTTAGATTCAGAATCGAAGTTTATGAATAACATGGCTCACACATCTGTTGCTGTTTATCAAGTTTGAGAGTAATAGTTCTGTATTTTGTGAAACAAATTGAAAATCCTTGCATCTCTTATTGTGATCCAGCACCAGAAAACATAGCATTGGAATAGGTATTTTCTTTAAAATGTGAAAGAACCCCACAGTGAAATAGTTGGGATAATGAGACAGTGGGAGGGGGAGTACAGGGTGCTTCATTCTTAGTTTTCTTTATCCATTTTACTCTTTCTTTTGGTAAAATTAAAAGATACATACCTGGATTTGCTTAGCTTATTCAAGAATGTAGGAGAAAATAAATTGTCATAAATTAGAACGCTAGTTCACGGTCTCATTTGTCCCCCAAACATGAATTGAGCGTCTACCCTTTGGAAGGCTTCCTGCTAGTTCTGGGAGTGTGTAGACAAAGAAGGTCCAGCCCCTGCCAATAACATTTGAGAGCCCGAGAGAAGCTATCCTACAGGGAACCGGACGAGATACGCTCCCAACCCCGAAGGATGGTAAGGAGGGAGGAGATTCCAGACAGGAACGGGCCAGTGAAAAAGCCCTGAGACCAGGCAGGTTGGGAGCTTGGGAAATTTCCAGTCCCTCTGTGGGCGGGAACTTTAAGTTCGGCTGCACCCTGCCCCAGGGGTTAGGTGAGGCTGTTAAAATAGGGAGCAGGGACCAGACCCTCAGATGGTGGGTCTCAGAGTGGAGAGACTACACCTGCAATGGAAAATTGCTTTTAACATTTCCTTAGGGATGTGGTGAAGCGGAGGGAAGTTCTGCCCACCTGGGGTGGAATCGGAAGGACCCCTGTCCTCTGTCCTGGGCAGGTGAACACAGAGCACTAACTAGGTGTTTTGTGCATTTGTGTCCAGGGAGTTTCTGAGAATAAGGGTGATATTCAGCAACCGCTAGGCTGGCTCACTTTGCCTTGAGCTAGGGAAGCGGAGGGGGAACCTAGACCACTCCATTCGAAGGGAACCCAAATCGGGCATTTCTCTGTGTAATATGGCAAACTCTAAGCGAGGTCTAGCTTTTCGGTGGTGGTGAAATGAATGAAAATAAGGATGGGTTCAGTGCAAGGGTAGTCGGGTGGGAGGAAGTCCGTGGTCCTTTGCACACCTTTAGTAGCTTCAGGGTGCATCTACTGGAGGAGTTGACCTCATGCCCACATCAAATGACTGATTATCTAATGGGAAATATTATTTAGTTTTATTTACTAAGCAGAATTTTGGCTGATTTGGGTTTTTTTGGTCCTAGAATATTGCATATTCTCTGACTCCTCCTCGATTGAAAAAAAAAATCCCCGTGTGGTACATTGCATTGTCTGCGGTCAAAGTAATCATAGTAATAACTGCCATTTTTTTAAAAAGTCTCACTACTTGCCAGGCACAGTGCTGGGTTTGCAATATACATTCCATCCATACATCAGTCAGTCCTAGAAGACAGGCCTTGTCAGACCTGCTTCACAGATGAAGAACCTGAGGCTCATAGACTGCTAGTGGGCCTGAGTTCACACTGCTGGTAAGTGGCCGGGCCAGTCGTAGCCCTAGGGTCGGAATTTGTTTAGAGCCCAGACTATCCCACTCCTCCCAGCCTGACGAAGATACTGTGTGTCATAATTCACATTTCTTTTCACTACTCTGAGATGTCCCTCAGGCAATAAAGAGAGCTCTGTCACAAACTACTGGTTTGGAATCCATAGCCAGAGCAATAGAATATCAAAATAAGTGAGTAGTATGAATAAAGAAAAAACCAATTCGGTGCCAGTATGATCATCTACATATGCAATGTAAGATCACCTCAATAGATAGGGGCTCGCAACATCATGCAGCTCCACTCCTGCCGTGTAGAAAGTCAATCTATTAGAACCAAAGTTACATAAGAGGCTAGTCTGGTTGGTGAAGAGAAAGAGTAGATGGACCGGCTTTTTCTCTGATAGCCCACCACCTGGCCTGGGCACGCTGCCTTGAGCTACAGCTTCCCCATCTCACATGGCTCGTGACACTGATACTATCTGCAAGGTTTGCAGTAGGAAACTGCTCAAGAGTCTTCAGGGATGTATCATTTCCCAGGAAGCCTTTAATCTAGGAGGCAGGAGCCAAGATGTGCATCCCCACGTAGGAGGGCTGGGGGATTAACACCTCAGGATGTAGGTAGGCTCACTCTGACTAACCCACAGCGGCCCTCGGACCTACAGGGCTCCAGGCAGGGCTGATCTTCCACTTGTCCTTCAGGGTTCTCAGGAACAAGAGAGCCTTGGTCTAAGGAGGGCAACTTCAGGTCACCAGAGGGAGGAGTGCTAGCCTCTGGTAAACATCAAGGTGAAGACCCAGAATGACGAATGAGGGGAGGACTCAGCCAGAACAGTGGGGTCTGGTAGAGTCCTGCCTTGGCTGTCAGCCCTTGGCAGTCTGGAGCAGTTGTAGCTAGATTTGGCTCACCCTGACTTCCAACTTGGTAGTTCCAGGAAGGTGAGGCTCTTCATCTGAGGGGAGCAGCCCAGGTCAGCTGAGGGTGGCATCCCAGGACCGCAGCGTCAGGGTGAGGAGAGTGAATGAGCAGTGAGGGAACCACCTACCCCAGAAGATAGGAGTTCCCACAAATCTCTCCCAACTATCTCCCCAGCTGGCACCTGGGAGGCCCGGGGAAGAGTTGTCAGGTAGAGGAGCCCCCTCATTTCTGTCCGGAGGGTCGTCGTGGGGGAGGGGGGCGGCAGGGCTTTGGTCTAGTGGGGGTGGCCCTCAGTTCTGCAGAGGTGGGGACACAGGTACTAACAGGAATTAAGGTTAGGACTCTGAGTGATATGTGGGGACCCCCAGAAGCAAAGAGGTTTGCACAGAGCCCCGCCTGTTCTGGTCCCCGGAATGCTTAGGGCAGAGCCCTTAGCTCAGCAGCCCTTCATTTTTGCTTGGAGAGTCACAGAGATGGGAGGGCCTTGGAATAAGGGAGGAGTCTCCGTTATGAAAAGGGAGGAGTTTGGGCTCTAACTGGTGTCCAGGTGAAGACCTTGAGTACTAATAGGGGGATCTCACCCCAAGACAGGGGGCTTCCCAGAGTGCCGTCCCTGCTCTCGGCCTTAGGAGGCCTGAGGCAGGGGTAGCCTGATGTGACACACCCGACATCCTAGAGACTCAGGCATATGAGGACTGATGTCTGATGGGCCCAGATCAGTAGAGGGAGGAGTCTCAGGCTTTGATACGCATCAGTGGGGTTCCATACAGTCCCGCCCCTGCTGTCAGCCCTGGGAGGCCCCTTATGTCCAAGGCTGGCTGTGGCTCACCCTGACATTCGCCTCCAGGAACCTGGGACGTGAGCACCCTGGTCTGAGGGGCACAGACTCAGGAAACTGACGGGTGGAGTTGCAGGACTGGTCAGGTTTCTAGGGGGACCCTGAATGTCGACTGAAGAGATCACTCTGCCCATAATCGAGGGGACTGCCCAGTGCTCCACTCCTCCTCTCAGCCCTAAAAAGGTGGACAGAGCTGTGCGCTGACTTCTACCCAGAGGGTTTCAGGGAGGGGAGGGCCTTGGTCTAAGGGGTTGGTCCCAATTCTGCCGAGAGAGGAGCCCTGGGTCCTAACCAGAGTCCAGGTGAGGGACTCGAGTGCTAACCAGGGGACCTCTCTCCAAAAGAACGGGCTGTCCAGAGCCCCTGATGTCAGCACTGGGAGCCCCAGGAAGTAGTCGTCAGATGTGGTGCACCCCAAACTCCCCCTCTGGGGAGGCAGAGAGGTGAGGGCTTTGTTCCGAGGGTGGTGGACGCAGGTCAGTAGAGGGACTCCAAAGGAGCCCAGGGCAGAGAAGGCCCTGTCTGAGCTGTCAGCCCTGGGTGCCCCCTGGAAGGGGTGGTGGGCTAAGATGTCCCTTCTCTTCCTCTTAGGGATTCAGGAAGCCGAGGGCGGGGTTTTAGCACAGTAGAGGGGAGGGGCCCAGGCCCTGCCAACAGTTGATATGATGGTGCTGACTCTAAACTGAGAGGCCCCCACCCCAGAAGAGAGCATCCCCACTACCAGCCTCTGCTGTCACCCCAGGCAGCCCCACGCAGGGCTGACAGGATGCAGCCCAAGGTACATTTTCCTCCACAAGGTACATAAGTTCCTCCACAGGGTCCTCAGGGGCCAGGATGACCAGGAGAACAGGAGCCCTGTGGAGTCCTAGAGCAGTGCCCTGGTGAAGGGGCTCACACCCTCTCATCCTGCTCCTCCAGGCGCCTGCATCACACGCCCTCCTGCCACACTCCTACCTGCTGTCCCTAACCACAGATCATGTCTCCAGGTCAGAAGAGTAAGCCCCACAACTGCGAGAAATGCTGCCAGGCCTGAGATGAGTCCTAAGGTCTCAGGGATGCTCAGGCCACTGTTGCAGTGGAAGAAGAGTCACCTTTGCTTTCATGTATAGTCCCCAGAGCAAGTGTGATATCAGGTCACATCTCGCTCCCAGGGTCTCAGAGAGCTCCAGCCACCAGTGCTTTCTGTAGGTGTTTCACACACAAGATCTTAACAAAGGTGCTGAGACCTTGATGAGGAAAGATCACGTGCCTCCCAGGCTGATATGGATATTTTTATATCAGTTTTTGCTGGAATGAAGTCCCCTTTAAGTCAGCTGTATGGGGCCAGGTAAAGCAGACACACTATGAAATGTTTTTCTTTTCCATTGAGACACTCATCATATCACTCTTTAAATCAACTCAATGTGCACCAAAAAGTGGCAGAGATAAATGGGCTTGATCAACATAGCCACGAATACTCAAGAATGGGCAGAATGAAAACTGAGGAATAAGACTGGGAGGAGAACAGGGGAGGAAGACTGCTTCAAACCGAGATGGGAGAAGAACTTGGAGAAGGGCGGAGCTATGAGCAAGAACTCTGAAGGATGGGCAGATCTGTGACCTGGAGGCAGGGGAGGAGCGATAAGGACCTCTAGGGCAGAAGGAACTCTCTCCACACTTGCTCCTTGGGCCCTTTCAGTCTGTTGTCTGTGCGTTTACTGGAGAGCCAGTGGGCTCCAGGCAGAGTGGCTTTGTGCATGGGCGATAGACTGGGGAACAAGACAGTCCTCCTCTTTTGTGGGCTAATCCGTTAGGGATAAAATGCCTTAGTATCCTTTGGCATTTAGATTCTCCAAGGAATGAGAACCCTTAATCACAACACTAACAGGGAAGACAGTTAGGAGCTTGACAAAATCAGGCGTGTCTTTCTTTTCTGGGTTAAGGTTAATTTTGTTTCTTTTACAATAAACAGAATTAGAAATTGCAGGACATCAATGCATTGAGATGATTATCCAGAGAGATTTTGATATTGCCCCTCCTTTTTTTTTTAA